GGGGGGGGGGGGGGGGGGGGGGGGGGGGGGGGGGGGGGGGGGTCCCTCAGTTCGCGTTTTGACCGTCGTTTCTCGGGGGTAGCTTGGCAAAGCGGACTTGATCTTGGTCTTTCTTGGATGTTGGTAACCTCGGGGATGAAAGTTGTTCTTAAGTGGACCCGTCAATTGACGCCTCCTGCGAGCAAGAGCTGCTTTCATTAATGGACGAGGTTGCTAATTTCCGTGGTTGAGTTGGGGGGCTTGTCTAGCCTTGGGCACTTGACAACTCGCATGTGTACTGCAGTTTAACAAGCAATAGGACACCCTCGCCTTCTCAGAGTACTGCTGCTGAGAGCGCTGTATGGTGGGACGGACTGGTTGACGGGACTGGTTAACCTGTTGACGGGCGAGTTGTCGCTTGTTTATGTCGAATGGGGCTGTGGAAATACATGCTATCCCCAGCGTATGTTCCTACTTGTGTTTTACGATATTCACCAACCAGAGTTGCGAGCAGGCGCTTGGTTTTGGATGATCGCTCGGTTGACCGTGTGGCCGATCAATGAAGGTTGCATGTGTGTTATTATTGTCCGCTGAGCGTGGTTGGTTGTGTATTCCTGGTTGAATCTTGTTCGTAGCGTAAACCATCTCAAGTGTTGTTTGTAACATTTGAGTGTTGAGTCCGGGCTTTGTGGTCGTTGACTACCTACGCGTAGAGCCGTTCGCGCCAGTCTCCAGTGTTCTTGTATCGACTTTTTTTAGGCCAGGCGCTACTCGCCTGGCTTGTGCCGATGGCTTTTCTGGATTTCAAAGTTTCGGCACTGCCGTACATTTTTATTTTTGTTCTCTTGCAGCATTTAGACGCATTCCCTGTGTGCAAGTCAAAGCACAGCAGTATGGTTCGCTGTGGCCTACGGCGTCATTGATGTGACGGGAGCATATGCGTGTTCGATTGAACAGTAGTTGGGCGGCCGAATAACTTCTACATGGGGATGTGTTGTTTTTGGGTATTTGAGTCGGGGCGGGGGGGGGTTATCTGTGGATTCTAACGAAACATTGTGCGCCCTGCGTATGCGTGTCATGGACGTTTGGTCTCGTGTGTTGGCACCATCTTGCACGCGGCGCTTGGTGGCGATGCTGGTCTTTTTTTTTTATGTGCCCCGGTGAGAATTATGAGAATCCCTGCTATGGTGGTGGCGATATTTATGAAGTCGAGTGATCTTCCGTATCTTCTGGCGGAATTTTGTGGAGGTGTGCAGCAGTATTATAGTAGTAGCCGGACGGAAGGCATGTTTTTGGTAGTGAATGACAGCACGGTGTCTGGAGTCGGCGCTCTCGTGAGGGGCAATGTGTTGGCTCCCGCATCGGTTGTACGTTGGCTTGGGGGCGACGCCATCATACTTGTTGGGTGTGCATGACGTTGCTTGTCCAATACCAATGTTTGTTTTGTGGGTTCCTGGTATGATGTGAACGAAGTCATGTATGCATACGAATTGGAACGGTCGGCCCTGGAGCGTGTAAGTGAGGACTAGAGGCGAGATCCAAAGCGCCTAAAAGGCTCCGTTTTCGGGGATGCAGCGCTCCTCCTCTGCCGACTGTTTGGTCCGGGGGCGAGAGCTTTTAGTTGGGCGTAGAAAAATGTTTCACGTTTGATGCTATGCGTATTATCTACGTCACGTTTCTTTCATTTGGTGCGCATGTCGCCCACTTTTTTTTCTTGTGTTGCTTCCACGTGGCGACTGTTGTAATGCGTGCCCTCAGTGTGCTTTCGAAGCAACGGGCCAGAGAACGGTCCAACTGCAACGAATCCCGATCGGGCACACAAGGTTTGGAGACGGCCAGCATGTATGCGTGCGCACGTCGGAGCGGGACAACAACACGACCCCGCATGTTTGATGCGGAGAGAACACGTTCGTTCAATCCTCCGAGTTGAGAACCAGGTCAATGGTCGACCAGCGTACACACGATGGCCCTGTTTAGATGCGAACGGTTACCTTTGGTCGCCACTTCACCTTGTTACTTGGGTGCCCCTTGATGTCGGTACATTGTCCCGTGTTATTTACGTTTTTCACTTGTACCCTTAAATGTACAAATATGCATTATTTCCTCATGCCTCTTGTTATAGCCTCTACCTTTATTCTCACGGCCCTTAGCCCGCCCCTTCTCCCTTCTTCCCACGCAATTACCTCTCGTCTGCCTTGACAACGGAACGGCGTATGCATACATGCATCCATGCATACAGGAAACCTGACAAGAAAACCCCGGCGCCACTCCGCGTCAAGCACTTGCACTGCATGGGTGGGTGGCAAAACAAATGATGCCCAAACCGATGTTCCCCTACATCAATATTTCCTCATATATTTCCAGCCTGAAACCGACAGCACCCCCACAGGAAAGACGAGCCTGTGCGCTACATGCATATGGGGACCCTCATGAAACACCTACAGTTGTGGATTCCATACAAGGGCTACTTCGAAGTATCATGTGCTACAGCTGTACTGGCATGACGCAACATCGTCAGATAGCTGTGACCTCGACAGTCTCCACCCGCTGCTATCTGTCAGACAGCTACGCCCCTTCCACACATTAGACATGTACTCCCTCCGTTCCTACGAATCCACCGCACGTCTACGGCATGGCACCAATCACCGCATCCATCCTTCCCCTTGTCGCCCTCTCCCTTGGCTCCACCACCGCCTTCGTTGCTCCCACCGGTCGTGGCGTCTCGTGGTCCCTGGCCAACCCTCAGCGTGCCGTCAGGTCGTCCACATCGACCGTATCCACGCGCTACAACGCCCGCCGCCCGTAACCAGCAACAACGGCGACATGTTCTCTCCGCATGGTGAGCGAGGTCGCGGAGGAGAAAGCGGCCAAGCTCCGAGAGACCGCGGCCGCCTTCCGCGCGGAAGCTGCCGAGCTGGAGGAGAAGCAGGCGCGAGAGCGACGCGAGAATGCCCGGCGATCTTCAACACCTTCGACTCCAACAAGGACGGATCGGTGGACATCGCCGAGCTCAAGGCAGGACTCGAGAGCCCGCTGCGTCGGGGCCTCACGAAGACGTTGCAGGCTCGCATGGGGCGGAAGCCGTCGAAAGAAGAGGTGGGTCGAGAGAGCACTCTGGTAGGGACCGAGTTTGGGGAAGTATTCACAATTGCTGTGTCCGTACAGTAGGTTGAGCGTTTTGGGTGAGTGAGCCACAGTAGTGTCGAGTTCCAGGCAGTGTAGATGACAGTGGCAGCAGCGACTGTTTTGTTCCTTTCCGATCATCGGCCTAGAGTTTGCAATGCACACTCCACCACACTGCTGTGTTACTCCTTTTTGTTTCCTTCTGGACCAAAAGACGCTTTGGGTACCACATTACACTTGAGAAATCGTCCACATCAAACTCTCCATGCAATCGGATTATTCCTGTATAGGTCTACTCTCCGAAACAACCAATGCACCTTTTGGCCGTACCCCTTGTCCCCGTCGATGATTGGCTGCCCTTCGCCGCTGCTCTGCACTATTGCTGTTGATGTAGGGCTAGGTAAGCCTTGTCCTGAATCTTAGTTGGTCGGTAGAAAAATGATAAGGGTTGGCCTTCGAAGCGAGAGCGAGATTCTTGCTTGACACTCGCTTCCAAGTATCGCCCTATGTCGCACGCACCCATCCATCACTGCCTCGCCCGAAATCACCGAACAACGCTCACCATACCCCTACCACCCGTCCAATCCTACCCTTCATCCTCCCGTTGTTGTCATGACATCTCAGGTGGACGAACGCATCGCCGGCCTCCCGGGAGGTACCCTCTTCCCCGACGAACTCGCACTCAAACTCATCCAGACCTACGACCAGAATGGGGACGGCCTGCTGCAGCTGTCGGAGTTCGCCCCCACCGAGGAGCTCAGGACGAGGCTCGAGGACCTCTTCAGCCAACAGCGGGAGGACGAGCGCGTGGCGCGCATGGAGGAGCGCCAGCGCCGGATGGATGACAAGATGAGGCCGGACACGGGGGCGGTGGTGGTGTCTCCCGGCGATGTCAACGACGGTCCGGCCACTACCGCCGACAAGGCGCTGTCCGCGTTGCCGTACCTACCTGCTTCCGCTGGCTGATGGCATCGTGTTCGCCGCCCACCTGTTCGGCGTGTTCCCGGAGCAGACGGCGTGGGCGCAGCCGCTGGCCGCCGTGCTGCTGGCGCTGCGGTCCGTGCCGTTCGCGACTCTGATCGGGTTCTTCAGCCTGTCTGTCCATCGGCTCCGCAACCCGCAGGTCAACAAGCTGGTGAGGTTCAACACGCAGCAGGCCATCAACGTGGACATCGCTCTGATCTTGCCGGGGGTGGTGGGTGCGATCGCGGGGGCGGTGTTGGGGGCGGACGCTGTGAAGCTGGCGCCTCTGGCGAACGCGGGGTCGGACGTTGTGTTTGTGGCGTTGTTGGCGGCCGTGGCGTACTCCGTGGGCACTTCGGCGACGGGGTCGTTCCCGAACAAGCTTCCGTTGTTGGGGCGTTTGAACCGCGAGAACCCCGAGAACCAGCAGGAGGGCGGCGAGGAGTAGAGGAAAACAAGTGGTTTGTTGCTATTGTTGTGAGTTCGAATGTAAGGCGGTGTGTCTGAATACGTTGTGTCCTTCTTTGTTTCCCCGATGAATGCCCACGACTTCGCCGTCTTTTTTTTCTCGGTTGGTTCCGCTTCGCCAGAGATGGGTTCGGAGGTCATTCATCCTGTATTCTGTGTTTTTTTTCGTGGTGTGTTGTGTTTGTCGGTACTGTAAGTGCGGAAGAGATGCGTGATAGAAGTATAATATTTTCGAGTGTCCTGAAGTCTTGCAGGTACCGTGTCTGCGTTGTGGTAGTGAGTGAATGCGATGTATTGATTGTCCGTGACTGGGGTCGTGGTGTGCTGTAAGACTTGTCTTTGGTGCCCCATCATGATGGTCTTCAGTCCAAACTGGGTTGCCTTTTGATGCTGGCGGCTGGGACACGGCCGAGTGTCGGTTCGTGTCAAGGAGTGTCTGCCAGTTCGGCCTGTGGTGCGTGACGTTACTTTGACGCTGTGTCAAAGAGAACAAAATCGAATGATGATCAAGACAAATCGACAAACGTGGCAAGCATGTTGCCATCGGTATCGAAACGACAACTGGTGGGTGCTCTTGGTCGTTCGACTGAGGCCCCAAATCGGTGTTTTGTGGCATCCATGACGGGTGAGAGTGGTATTGATTGGTGCACCCCCGAAGGAGCTGTCAGCACAACACAGACCTTTGTATTTATCTAAGCAATAGACCGCCCTCGCAAGGATGGTTTGCCTGTCGTGATTGCCGCAAAATCCCGCAAAACAGGAGGGGCGTTTTCGGCGCAGCAGAACAGAAGGTCATGTCCAAAACAAAGACCTTTTTCGAGGCAGATCTCCACTATCAAATGAGCCCCCGGCAACCCCTGCCGACGTCCAAGTGGGGCCCATACTATCGCCAGCTTTCGAACAACGTTATTTCGCCGCAAGACGAAAACACGAAGGAAAGCACGCGCCCGAGTGGGGCCCATACCGTCGCTAGCATTCGCACGATATTGTTTCTCCGAAACACCAAGCAACAAGAGCGAAAGCACGCCCAAGTAGGAGCCACAGCGTGAAAAACGCACTAAACATTCATGCTGAACGTGGTACCGAAAGCGCTGTCTACTATCTGATGTCAACATGGCCGGTGGTTGCAGTGTTCGGTGAGCACGCTTCACGTCGTGGTAACCGGTGCACGATGCAACCTTTCACTCCCTCGGACAAGGGCGACAAAAACCAAATCCCGTGCGATCAGCTCAAGTTGGCGGGGGGCTCCGCAAGAGCGATTTCCTTTTCCCCCACCAGTACAACATCCCCGTCCGCGGCGCCTTCCTCTCGGAGCTCCTGCAGCACGCCGAGAGACTCCATCACCTGCTCGAAAAAAAAATAACATAGAATGGTTTTATCGCCAATTGATCCAGCACTCTTCTGTGGATTGAGATGGATTCGCTGCATATTGCTAGTTGGTTCTGGATTTTCGCCTGTGAATCGAGATGGGTTTGTCGCTTCATTGCTAATTGGTCCTGGACGCTTGCTTGTGGATAGAGATGGATTCGTTGGTGATAAATTAAGAAACATGAAAAAAAAGTGGAAGACAAGAGCAGCTGTAATGAATACACGCCGGTTGATGCTGCCGTGTCGTTATTGGACATCGCAGACGAGATGCGTGAGCAGCGTACTGCTCCCGCGCCCCCTAGGTCGGCCAAACAAAAAACTCAACAGCAGCCTTGGGTTGAACAACTGCCTAATGTCGGACTGGTCTGGATCGTCGTCTCTTCTTATCGGGAAACGCGAGAATGTTGCTCGCCATGGAGAGGACTGCAGAAGGAAGGGTGGGGCACAAAAATAAATGAACAAACAAAAACTCCTGTGTGACCTTCCTGTTGTGTGGCCACGGCTGATACGTCAAAGATATGCGCCGAAAAACGTGTAGACGGGCGGTAGATGGGACGAACACGCAGAGACAGGGCTATAGAGGGGAAGAGACTGGACCGATCACAGGAAAATGATGCAGGCTACGAGAGCCTAGACTATATCGGGCAACAGGAAGGGGTTGTAGTCAACTGGAGTAGATGTAGGCTTTATACAGGCTAGGTCAAGGAAAGTCGCAGACGAGATTAAGACATACTCCAGCTGCGTGAGGCCAGCCCAAAGTATGCTTTCGAATACTTTCACATAGAGGGCAGGCCAGGTCCCTACACCACACGCGGCAAATACAGCAGCAGCAGCAGCAGCAGCAGCAGGTCTCGCCTTCAAGAAGCGGCCGACGGCCCCGTAGTATTCCCAATCGGTGTTGAGCGACATCTGCGCCAGCCTGGTATCGCGAATCAGCCAGCGGTTGGCGCCATCCGCGAATACTCTTGCCGAGTCTTCCGAGATAACTTCTGAGCAATCACACAGGACAGGAGGGGGGGGGGGGGGGGGGGNACTTTGCCAAAGGTGGCTCAAAAATGTCTTCCCTAGTCTGTCTACCCTAACGATTTCCCTTCCCGCCTTTTCAACCCACCTCCTATGCCCCAGTGCAGCTGCCGTCCTTTCCTCTCTATTCCATGCCTCAAACATCTCCCTGGACGTCCCATCTATTTTTCCCAGCTCAGTCACGTACACTTCCCTCTCCTTCTTGTACCACGGACATTCCGCGACTACATGAACATGGTCTCCGCATTCGAAGTCGCAATCACGTTTGAACTCGTCGTCTTCGTCGTCTACCGTCCTACATCTTCGTCGACGTTCTCGAAGGCCAATGTCCCCGGTCCTGAATTTGACCTTAAGCTTCGTTCCTGCATCCATTGGTCCATGTAGGTAATCCTTGAACCCTATTCCTTCCTTCAACATTCCGTACACGTCTAGACGCTCCTTATCCTTGGGGGGGCGGGGGTACTCCTGTTTTACATGCCTTAGCGGTTAAACCCACGCGTCCTCGAGAGGACGGAGCATTATTCCCACAGGATCGATCACCGATGGCCCATCGTCCCTTCCTACTTTTCCAAAGGTGGCTCAATAATGTCTGCTCCACCTATCTATCCTATCCCAGGGGGGAGGGAGTGAGGAGTACAAATACCAGCGGCGGCCAGTTCCCGCAACAGTCAATCCAACCGGCTGATGTGGTTGTCAAACATCGTCCCGAACAACCGTATTTGGTGCCAGGGTGATGGTTTTGGCACCAGTGGGTACGTCTGAGCTCAGAATTAGAGCTAGTCGGTGCTGGGTATGGGTGCAGACAACCCAAAGAGAACCCATCCTGGTTGAAACTTGGCACCAAGCTCATGGCTAGAGCAACTCACGCGGCAATTAATGGAGCCTTTGTCGTATCACATGAAGGGACAGAGCGTTGGGGATTCTAACAGGGTCGAATTGAGTTCCACACGTTTGGGCCACAAGATCAAGTAGAAACGATCTCCTTCTTCACAGCTACCATATCCGCAAGAACCTATGATTTTCGCCACTCTTGGTTGTGGCTTACTAGCGTCTTACGACGCCGAGGGGGTATCCTGTGTGACCGAGCTTTTCACCCAAAGAGGAAACATCGCATCAAAAGGAGAAACAATTGTCCTATATGACGATGAAAAACAGAAAAATATGGTCCCCGCATTCCTGCCAACTCCGTGCAACAACGCCAAGCCTTTATTATATCCAGGACTGCGTTCCCAAGGAAATAACTCACGCCCTCAGAGGAAATCAGACACAGTCGCCACAGCGGCAAGACGTACCACCTAACCACAAAACGAGACAGCCTCGAAGCCCCCAGCTATCTCCAGCGCCCTTGCCTTCCTCCTCTGCGTCGCCCCCGCCCCCTCCTCCCATCGCCGCCTTCTGCAGCATCTGTAACCGCTCCTTTTCGGCCTCCTCCGCCTCTACCCCGTCTAGGAAACGCCTCGTTCGCCGCATCAACTCCTTGACGTGTGTTCCCTCCCCAGAGCTAATAGACATCAACCTGCGTGATGTGTGATGTGTGATTTGTGCTGTGTTTTTTTCCAAGGCCAACGACAGGAGTCGTTTCACAGATCTCCTATGATACTTCTTCGCAAAGATGGCTGAGGACGCGAGAGGGCAATGCTGGACCTTTGAAATGATGTCGATTCTCTCGTGCCCTGCAACAGGTGCAATCAACGACAAATCGCTTACCCGTGGGTTGCACAAGATACCACACACACCCCGTACCGATTACCAAAGCTCGACTACTCCACGACGAAGAGGATGCCAAAATCAATTGATACGATTGCGGGAAGCTTTCGAAGAGGTTCCAACGCGGCTTTCCGTCGTAATATTCTGCCGCAGCGTAACTGAGCTCTGAAAATCGGTCCAATGGGAGTGGATGAAACCCACGGTGCTGCCTGAATCGGCTCCAGTTGTCCACCCGGGCCGGGCCTGAATATGATTCAGTACTCTAGCAGGCGCGAAGATTTAACGACGCCATCAACTCCATACGATACACTACCGGGGGGAGCAAAGTATAAGATAGGTCACACCAAATGATGTGCAGGCATGCACAACCCCCCCCACACATGTCTGCTACATGCAATGGTTGTGCGTGCCTACACATTCATGTGTTGGTTGTGCTTGAGTGCACGTTCATGTGTATGTTTGATAGAGATGGAGACATGGATGTTCTCCTACGAATCTCTCGACCTGGAGATTATTCTCCGCTAGATACTCTCCCCGGCATACCTGTTTTCCGTTCGCAGGGGCATCAGCAACAGCAGCAGCGAACGTTGCTACATCTACCCCAGCATCCAAACATTGCTAACTAAACACCAGCGGCCAGATGCTGCTGGCGCTGCAACATCAGGCGTCCTGCCAACGCCAGGAACATCTGGACACTGGGATTCACGTGGCAATACTAGTTGCTGCGGTTCCTGATGCCCCTATGATCATATCCCTTCTCCTCACTCTAAATCGCACGGGCATCAGGAACACCAAGCAGCAATTATTGCTACCTAGACTCCAGCATATAGATGCTGCTGGCGTTGCCAGCTCAGGCGTTCTGCCAGCGCCAGCAACATCTGAACGCTGGAATTCACGTAACAATAGTTGTTGCATACTTTTCCTGATGCCCCTGTGATCGAGAACATAAATAACCATGCCGGGGAGAGTGCCCAGGGGGGAATTTATCACCTGGGCGGCAAGGAGACCTACGATCGAACACCTGCATCATTCTTCATTATCAAGAGAGCACAGCAATGTTGACAACGGCGACATGACGCACACCACGAACGGATGGACACCCGACAACAAAAACGAAAAAAGATAGATACATGATAGTATACGATACGACGACACATCGTTGGGGGAGGGAGGGGGGGGGGGGG